CTTTACTATGCTCATGAGAAATTTGAGCACTAGGATCGTTGCTAAATTTAGACTAGTTTTTGATTATCATTCCTAAAGTTAGCCTAATACTCGACCATCATATCTAAATTTGGCAGTAAGGAAAATAGTTTTTTTAACCAAAATCATGTGTAACCCTTTTTTAAAAAATTTTATTGTATTTTTGAACGAATCACGAAATTGCAATTTTTGAAATTTGTGCGCGTGGCGCAGCAATAGGAGTCTTTAGCTTTAGACCAAGCCAACCATAGAATACCTACATCTTGTGCGACTATATGCAGGGATCTCTAAACTTAAATGGGTTCAGATGATTGAGCTTCTCTAAATAGAAAGTTGTCATACAACATTATTCCAAAAAAAGAAAATTCTGAGTGAATTTTGTATTATCTGTGAAATTATATGTGAATCACAGAAAATCATTGTCCCTGAATCATGTATATTAATATATTTGCATTCTTTTTTCAATCTTTATTGGATCAACAACCAGAGAAATACTCCTAACAACATTAGGCTAGATTAGGCTATTAGGCTTAGAGATTTGAGTATAAAAATCAAAATCCCCAATGTACAACAATTCTTCCAAATTAGATCACTGATTCATGTAGGGATGTAAGTGAATACCAACTTGCTACTCAATTGTATTGAAAAATCCTAAATTTTATAACATCATGAGCTTTTAATTAGCAATAAAAGGCATTAATGACATTGAGTATACCTATATTTTTTTAAAAAATGTTAATGGCCTTATTTAAGGAATATATTAGCATTTTCTCAGATATAGTATTCTACCAACTGAGACTGAAATGTCACAGTGTTTTTTTCTGGATGATATGCAAATACATTGTTTTCCAACATTTCATCAGATTCCTCTGTCTTATTGAAAAATTCCATAAATGTTGTAAAGCTAAGCTCCTTAGAATCCAATAAAGCACTGATGATGTGCTTCCCTACTTCATGATGTGGTTGTTTTCGGAGGAGTCATGCAGTTTTAAATTTCTTTTCAACTTCTCTTAAGATTTGCTGTTTAATGACTACAGGAAAAGGGAAAAGCAATTAATCCAAAGCAGAATAATGCAAATTTGATTGACACAAAATATAAATCATTATTACCTTCTAAGGACTGCCCAGCCAGAAATTTATCCACCACAGCCTTTAGATCCACAATGCATCCACCAACTAATTTATATAATTCATCTACTTCTTTTTTGATCTTACATTCATTTTTCTTATTCCCTTCTTTTGTTTCGATTGTGCACCTCTTAATCAGATAATCTTTTGATTCCTCTTCACTAAGGTCACTGATTTCCATCACTGGTTTATTTGCTCGTGACCAGGCACTACATGCTAAAAATAAAAATCACAATCTGTAAGTAATACAATTTTTTCAAGAGCACCAAAAAACATTGTTAAATACTTACATTCCATTCTTCAGGGAACATTTCCTTCACTGCTGACAAACACAGTGATGTATTTTCTGTCATTGGCATTATCCTTGGCATCATCCTGAAGGATATCAAGGATTTCTGGATTCTTGTAAACTAGTTGGCTAGTTTTGATGTTGTAAATACTGTTTTGGATTCATAGTAAATTTGCCTTGAGTTTTACATCTATTATTCTTAGAATTGCGAGACATATTTATGTATAGTGATCAAGACATTCAAATTTTTTTCACACACTCATAATTTTTATCTTTTGTAGAAAGTACACTATGTGCATTAACTCAAACTTTTGAACATATCTGTATTTTACATAAAACAATGGTAAACACTCAATCCCAAATTGACTTGTTGAGAGAATTGAATTCTAAGCTCATAGCTGAGATTGCTAACCTTAGAAAGGAGAATGCTGAGGTCAAGTCTGAGAATATCAAAGTTAAAGCTGAGAATGCAAAGTTAAAGCAAGCTTTGGAAAAACATGAAGCCAGATTCATGAATCTAGAGCAGAGAGATAAAGAAAAGGCCAACCTTATTGCCAAATTAGATGATGATATCAAGGAAATCAAACAATCTTTGACCAATACTAGTATTTCTCCCAAAATAAATTCTGAGAATATTCCTGAACAGATGGAAAATACATCTGATAATGCACCAAATTCTGATGTATGTCAGGAGACAAAGACTCAATGTTCTGCATCATCAATTTGCATAGAAACTAAATCTTCAGAAAATAAAGAAATGAATGATTTCCTGGACTCATTACATAAAGAAAAGGTTAGATCCAAAGACTTATCTTTGGATAATAATTCGCAATCTAATAAAAACAAAATACAGAAATTCATGTTAGAAATTTCTGAAAACTCTAATTTGCAGTTACAATATACTGGTTCTATTATCAATGGTAATGTAGATAGTGACATGACTCCAACCCTGAATGAAACAGAATCTAATATAGTTAGTAGAATTTTAAATAAAGAAGTTCATGCTCAGCTTCCTGCAAATACTTCTGATGCACTT